TGCCCCCCGACTCCACCCCCGCACCCACCTCCCAAGCCCTGTGCAGCTGGTTGGGGCCAGGAGAAGATCCTTTCTCCTGTGGGACACCCCTTCCTTGCAGCCAGATGGTGCCCACTGTGCCTACCTGGGCACTGAAATCAAGAACACTGGCTGGATCCAGCCCACCAGGCCAAAAGATCCCTGACCTAAAGCATCAGACTTTTGACCACAAAGCTGCTCTGTCCACCTTAGTATATTGAACATTTCTGCTCTGCTCTCATCTGCCTGCATTTGGGGTATGTTACATTGTTCTTTTTATGAACACGCTCCCTTTCCTCTAAATCAGTGGAGAATGTCCAGAGGAGAATTGTAAAAGAAACATAGAGAAGGATTGGCTGCACTAAACAGATCTTGACTTGGCCCTCAATTGAAGTGGATGGTCCCAGCTAAAAAGCAGTTCTGGCTTTAAATCTATAGCCAAGGTTTGCAGGATCTAGGTTCAAAAATACAAGCAAATATGTATTGGAGGGTTGGGTGTGGGAAAAGTATGGTGTCTGGGCACACACGTGCATAATAACCCAAGCTATGAATACCCAGCCTTTTTTTTTAGGACACCCTCTACTGAAATTGAAAGTCTATTTCTCAACTAGGATTATATGCGAGGCATTGACTGTGGAGGTCAGTGCCACAGTTTTTGGGTTCTGGTACAGAAATAAGAATGTCAGAAAGAGAACCGGTCCCATAAACAAACCCTATTCTATTTTAAATAGAAAAGGGGGTTACCTTGGGTCTAACAGAGTACTGTTGAAATGTTTTAGCCAGCTGAACATTAGGCACCAAGCATCAAATTCAAATTAGCCAGTACAGGAGACAAATGGATAGCACATGTGGGGATATAGGCAAGGAGAGACTGAAGACAAATGCCAGTAGCACACTGGACAAGAGCAGCTCTTGGGAGGTAGAGTAATCAGACCCAGTGCTCATGCAGCTGACTTGCAAAGAAAGACACTCCTGGTGAGGCATCTTATCTTGATTTTTTCAGTATGCAAGGAACAGAAACTTTGGGAGGAGGTTGCCAGTGTCTTCTCCCCCACCCCGCCCAAAGGTCTTACCTATTCAGATTTCCTTGAAGTCCACCAGCAAACTTCAGCAGTATCAGAGTAATACAAGCCCTCAAGAAGATTAAAAAGTGAATCAATGCAGATGGTTTAAACCTGGTCTTCACTTCTAATAGGAAGTTATCTAGTGGTTCACTCTAATTTTGTGCACTTCAACATTACCATTCACAGCAGCTGGGACATGCCCATGAGAAAGCCACGTGATCCAAAGTCAATTTAGTCTGCATTTGACCCAAGTTGATTTAATCCTTGTTTCCTATTTCATCAAGTCTACTAAATGTGGAAACTCTCTCGTCACATGCTTGTTTTACAGAGCAGTTGTTATGGGAAGTCAGAATAGGCAGGAAATTAAACCATCTATGATGCAAGGAAACTTCACCCCCCTGTCACAGTATCTGCTGATCTCCATGTTCTACACGCTGAAATACTTCACAATTACAG